CGGTCTCTGAGGTCCAATGGGCTCTGACTCTCTCCGGCGGGGGCGTCCTGATGGTAGCGAGTGACACGGTGACTGGGCGGGGCTTCCTCCGCTCCTCCTTGACGCCTCCTCCTCCGTTAGCGTTAGCATCCCTCGGCTGCTCTCCCTGGTGTGAGTCTTTGGTCGGACCACCAGCTCGCCTCCTGCAGGATAATAAAAGTTTCATTTGTATTTTCAGATGCTAACCTGTTTGACTTTCAGTATCTCATCAGTATGATGACAAAATGATCTGATACTTCAGACCTTTAAATGTCAGCTCTTACCTCCCGCTCTGAGCCTTCTCCTCTCCTCCTGCTCCTCCAGGGGGCGGAGCTCCTCAGGCTCTTCGTCTGTGGTTCCTGACGTTGTCGGTTGGAAGTCTCGAAGCTCCGTCTCTTTGTCGATGATCACCCACTCTTTGCTGTCAAAGTCCTCCTCCTCGGCCAGCGGGACGGAGCGAATAAAGGCGTTGCTGTGCGCTTCCTGGTCCACTGACGCCACTGACACTTCCTGCCGGCCGCTGACCTGACGATCACCACGGCAACCAGGGTCAACAGACAGCATCTGAGCGGGCTGTGAGGAATAAACGTGCCGAGAAGGAGAGCCAAGGATGTCCATTCTCGACCTGTGGGACATGCAGGGAAACATTTAGAGGCCTGAAGACTAGACGGACTGCAAGTCGACAGACACTCGACAAATTGCTTTTGGTTCAAATTCATCAGGCCAAACGAGCCCAGACTAGTGAAAGTCCATGTTTCAGGTCATTAAAGAACAAGCTCGAGGTTTTTCAGAAGATCTAAAGTCTATTTGGCAAGTCCAAGTCAGGCTTTTAGTCAGACTAGATAAGACCGAGTCAACTCTGAAGTTTGAGGTGTTCAGTCAATTTAAAAGTCTTCGTAAAGTCGGGGCGCTGGTGGCGCAGGGGTTAGTGCGCGCGTCCCATGTATGGAAGCTGTAGTCTTCCAAGCGGGCAGCCCAGGTTCGAATCCAGCCTGTGGCTCCTTTCCCACATGTGATTCCCCACTCTCTCTCTCTCCCTGATTTCTGACTCTATCCACTGTTCCAATAAAGGCCCAAAAAGTCAAAAAAAAAATCTTTAAAAAAAAAAAAAAAAAGTCTTTGTAAAGTCAATAAATAATGGTTCAAATAGGAGTCCAAGTCTGAAAGCAAGAAAGGTTCAAGTCAGGTCTCAAGTCCACCAGAAATCACAGGTCTCTAAAAGGAAATCTCAAGATGGATAAACTTGGATCAAGCCCATTGAAATAAGAGCAAGTTTCAGGCCAAGTCGAGCCACAAGTCTTCAAGTCAAGAAGGCAAAGAAAAGGGGGTCGAGTCTCAATCAAGTTACAAGTTGATTCCCAATTCACAAAGGTCCAAAGTCCCAGTTAGATCACAAAGAAGAGTCACATCAGGTCTTAAGCCAGGACAGGTTACAAGTCAGTCTGGAAAGATCAAGTCAATCCTGAGGCACAGTCCACGCCAAGTCAGTTAAGACGAAAGCTGTTGAGGTCCGAGTCAATCCGAGTCAGGTTTAAGTCATTTAAGACAAAATCAAGTCAATGTTTCTGAGGTAAAGCATGCGTCAAGACATGAGTCAAGTCAATAAGTACAAGTCAAAGAGAGTCTCACATAAATAAGGGAAACAACAAGGCTTGTCTGGGGAAGCTTCAGTGAGTCAGTAAAGACCTCTGAGGTTAAACCAGAGTCTCAAGTCATATTCAAAAATCCACGGCTAAAGAGCAAGAAGCAAAACCAAAACCATGCCACACATCTTGTTTCAGGGAAGTATCAAGAGAAAGCTGTCAGGTGTTTCCGTCACCTCTGTCCATATCCGTCGACTCGGCCATCAGCAGCAGAAAGACGGTCAGATTCGGGGCTGTTGACTCGGCGGTAGCGTAACGACCGACCCTGACCTGTGGGCGACTCTGGGGCTCCTCCTCGAACCGGTGACGCTGGACACGCCCCCCGACCTGACTCCTCCTCCTGAGTGCCCTGAGCAGGGATATTACAGTGAAAGATCATGTAAATACTCGAGTAAAGAACAGGTACCAGGTGCTCAGGTCACAAGTCACACCTTGTTCAGGCTGATCCTGAGTCTGTTGCGGTTGAAGTCCGTGTCCTCCCAGGTCTCTCCCGTCTCCCCGACATGCTGGGCACTCGTCTCCCCGGGGGGGCGGCTGGGTGGGGCGGGTGGGGCGTTCTCCTGGTCACTCAGGTGTTCATCCTGCAGAACGTCGTCGGTGTTCTCCCGCTGAAGATCTCCAGGAATGGGCGTCACGATGGCTCTGTTTACAGAGAACAAATGATGATGTTTCACAGATCTGATCTTGAAAACATTTAAACATTATATTATTGTAGAACCCGATACAATCTATCTATATATATCTATATTTACTGTTTTGATCCCTCAGTTATCAAACATTTGTGGAAAAGATTTATAATAAAGACAAGATGGTCACTCAGCTGGAGAGTAACTGAGCATGTACGTTTACATGATTAATCGGTCAGGCTCTATATTACATTATTAATTATATTATTGTATAAATGATACACCTCCACATCACAGAGGAATAACAATCATCTTTGTCCTTTTTGGCTTCACAGGGCATAAAGCCGCTCTCAAACAGCTCACGGATTGGCTCTTACCCAACCATGGCGGCAGTGGGTCGGGTGTTGTGCTGTGGTTGTGTGGAGGCACTGGTTGACAGCGTGACATCACCTCCTCCCTTCTCCCAGTCAAAAGGCTCGTTCTCTGTGATGATTCGCTCCTTCATGCTGTTCTCAAACACCGACATGAGCAGCTGGACAAACACACAAAGCACACAGGTGAAGTCCAGGTGTACACTCTGAAGCATACAGGTGAATCTAAAGTCCAGGTGTAGACTCTGAAGCACACAGGTGAATCTAAAGTCCAGGTGTACACCCTGAAGCATACGGGTGAATCTAAAGTCCAGGTGTACACCCTGAAGCACACGGGTGAATCTAAAGTCCAGGTGTACACCCTGAAGCACACGGGTGAATCTAAAGTCCAGGTGTAGACTCTGAAGCACACGGGTGAATCTAAAGTCCAGGTGTAGACTCTGAAGCACACAGGTGAATCTAAAGTCCAGGTGTACACTCTGAAGCACACGGGTGAATCTAAAGTCCAGGTGTACACCCTGAAGCACACGGGTGAATCTAAAGTCCAGGTGTACACCCTGAAGCATACAGGTGAATCTAAAGTCCAGGTTACACCCTGAAGCACACAGGTGAATCTAAAGTCCAGGTTACACCCTGAAGCACACAGGTGAATCTAAAGTCCAGGTTACACCCTGAAGCATACAGGTGAATCTAAAGTCCAGGTGTACACCCTGAAGCATACAGGTGAATCTAAAGTCCAGGTTACACCCTGAAGCACACAGGTGAATCTAAAGTCCAGGTTACACCCTGAAGCATACAGGTGAATCTAAAGTCCAGGTTACACCCTGAAGCATACAGGTGAATCTAAAGTCCAGGTTACACCCTGAAGCACACGGGTGAATCTAAAGTCCAGGTTACACCCTGAAGCACACAGGTGAATCTAAAGTCCAGGTTACACCCTGAAGCACACGGGTGAATCTAAAGTCCAGGTGTACACTCTGAAGCATACAGGTGAATCTAAAGTCCAGGTGTACACCCTGAAGCACACGGGTGAATCTAAAGTCCAGGTGTACACCCTGAAGCATACAGGTGAATCTAAAGTCCAGGTGTACACCCTGAAGCACACAGGTGAATCTAAAGTCCAGGTGTACACCCTGAAGCACACAGGTGGGTTCATGGTGTGTACCTGGTAGTCTGGTTTGGTGTAGTAGTCCAGGGCCAGAACGTGGTCCAGGAAGATATTAAACTCTGAAGGCATGTGTTTGAGCAGCATCCGATGGTCGTAACGCTCTTTAATCTGACCCACTTGTTCCTGCAGAGAACAACACAAATCTGTTGAAGTGGCTGAGAAAGGATAACTGATATTTAACAATGACTGAGCTTAACATGTGGCTAACAGAGTTCATCACTCTCTTTTAGTATCTTTTATTTTACTTTACTTTAAGATGATATTCAATGAGCCATGGGACCCAAAAGTACCAAAACGTATTCCAACTTCAGATCATATTTTAGCGATGTTTGAACAAATATGTTTACAACGATTCTGTTTGAAATGTTAGCAATGTATTTGTGCAATTCAGAATGTGTGCAGGATATTTAATTTTGAATATTAAAAGAAAAGACATGACCCAACGCTGGGTGTTTCTAATTATGTCGCTGTGGTATACTGAAACAAGTATTCATGTAGTGGTATGGAAGTTTAAAAATCTGTTATGTTGACAACATTCGTCTTTACAGATAAACCTGATGAGAAATATGTGGTAAAACCAAAACAAAAGGATCTAAAACAGGCTCAAAGGCTCCAAGAGATTCTGTGAACCTTCACAGTTAAATTTTCTCCGTCTTGGAGAAAGCTGTGGATTTACTTAAAAACGGAGTCTTACCTTGTCTTTGATTTTTCGCCAAGGCAACTGTCCAACAGCAAACTCCACCAACATGTAAAACAATGACCACAGGTCGTCATGGCGACCCATTTCCTGTAAAAACACAACAGTAACAGTGTTTTCTAATCATCGATTATTATTGTGCTGTTAAAGGTCCCATATTATGATGCTTTTTCTGGTTTTATATGCTCTTTAGTGTGTTTTCCAAGTGTCCTGTGCATGTCCTCCTGTTAGCTGTAGCATTAGCTGCATGTAACGCTCGGTTCTAGCCCCCCTCAATAAAAATGTGTCAGTCCGACGTCATTGTCAGTGTGAGATCACTGATCTAAGCCCATTGGCTCGTTGTGGCCCTGCAGCTCATGTTGAAATTTTCGAGACGCGTGCTGAGCAACTGACTAATAACGACAGAGCGGATCGGCAGACCAATCAAAGCAGACTTGGCCCACGTGGGGTCTAACAGTGTGGGCTCAGCAGAGCGTAGCTGACGGACTCAGAGCGTAGAGGGAGCAAGAAGGAGCAGTACATGAAAACAGACACTTTTTTCGGACTAGCTATTGCGAACGTACAAAAGTAGGAACATAGATTAAATATACGAACCCCAAAAAGGGCAGAATATGGACTCTTTAAGAACTAAACAATCCTTCTACCATTTGACACCCCCCTTAAAGTGAAGATAAAACACATAGAGCGCCCCCTTCTGACTGGCTGCAGATCATAAACTGGAGGTTGGCATGTGTCTTGCAGAGGCACCACCGTGATCATCCATCATTTCAACAACAGCAGCGTTCTTCACATACTTCATACAGAAAACACTGACCTTGTTTTTATGAGCGTTGACTGAAGCGTAGCGGACCGTCCCTCTGAAACCAGCCACAGTCCTCGGCTGAACACAGGAGGAGGAAAACTTAGTCACAAAAACTGGCTTCCTACAGCTCGACGCCATTCTCATCTCTACGCTATACACTGCTGCTCCAACCATTCAAACAGAATAATACACATAACTTTAAATATACACGCTGTTAAATAAAGCAGAACGTCTCCTCTGCTGATTAAGCTTCTCTGTCTGAGATCATCTCATATCAGCTGTTTCTGTGGACCAGCGAGGGCCGGGTTTCTTCTCATCATAATGAAACACGCTGCTTAAATCTACTTCAACTGAGACTGTTGTCGCATGCTCATTGGGCTGCAGCAAAGGCCACTAAAAAGATTGAATTGTTCTAAGTTTGTGACAACATTACAGAAAGGATCCCTACAGAGAGAGACCCTTTTGTTACAGAGGAAATCCCCGAGCTCTTACCAAAAAGGTCTCTGTGATGTTGTTAGACTTTTTATAAATTAAAAGATATAACTTTAAGTAGTGTTTCTTCCAGCAGAATTAGCAGACACTAATTAAGGCGAAAACGTTGGACAACTTGTGGTACTGCTATTGTTGCCCTTGTTTGTTTTCTGCAGCCATATTGGATGCAAATTGAATTTGCGTGTAAACCACAAGTGGCTCAGATATGAACTGTGCTGCATTTGTTTCTCTTTCTCATTACTCTGTGATCATGAAAACAGCCACATGATAGTCACACTTAAACTTGCAGTCCAATCTGAAGCATGATGTGGGGTCATGCTGCTGGAGTCAGAGTAAATTAAAACAAGCAAATAAAAACAAAAACAGAATTATGAGCAGTGGGTCACAGTGCAGCCACACAGCCGACGTCTTCTCCAGTAAACACAAAGAGTCATAAACGGGTGTTTATGCTGATGTCAATGTGTGAGAGCAGAACAGAACGACATGAAAAGTTCTGTTTTTTAGGGCCTGTGTCCAAAAAACCTTTTCATTACCTTAATATCAGCTTCTCACTGCTGATGACTGTTGGTAGGTTTTGAAAAATCTAACAAGATTCTTCCCTCTGTAGTGAACATTAAGTCTATTATCAAAGCTTTCTTTGTTTAGTTTTTGATTTTATTCAAAGGAATATCCCTAAGAAAGAATGAAAATAATGTAAATTAATCATGACCTGGCATTAGCAGCAGCTCTACACCTGAATCTTTACCCTCGAAAAAGATGAGTCATTTAAGTATCTCGTCCACCATTGTTGTTGACATAGCTGATATCGGAAGCACCACCTCTTCTTCATTTTGATTGGCTGGTGTGGGAGAAGTGACATTGATGGGAGAGCACTTAAGAGTGCAGGGACAAAAACAGCTGACAATAAGGATGTTTTTGGATGCTGTTTGAAATCAAGCGTTACACCTTCACTTTAGATGATACATCTGTATTTACTTTTACATCTAAAGTACATCTTTATGCTGATGATACAGCTGTATTTACCTCTACATCTAAAGTACATCTTTATGCTGATGATACTCTGTATTTACTTCTAAATCTTAAGTACATCTTTATGCTGATGATACTCTGTATTTACTTCTAAATCTAAAGTATATCTTTATGCAGATGATACTCTGTATTTACTTCAAAATCTAAAGTAAATCTTTATGCTGATGATACAGCTGTATTTACTTCTAAATCTAAAGTACATCTTTATGCTGATGATACTCTGTATTTACTTCTAAATCTAAAGTACATCTTTATGCAAATGATAAAGTTGTATTTACTTCTAAATCTAAAGTACATATTTATGCTGATGATACTCTGTATTTACTTCTAAATCTGAAGTATATCTTTATGCAGATGATACTCTGTATTTACTTCAAAATCTAAAGTACATCTTTATGCTGATGATACTCTGTACTTACTTCTAAATCTAAAGTATATCTTTATGCAGATGATACTCTGTATTTACTTCAAAATCTAAAGTACATCTTTATGCTGATGATACTCTGTATTTACTTCTACATATAAGGTACATCTTTATGCAGATGACACAGCTGTATTTACTTCTACACCTAAAGTAAATATTTATGCAGATGATACAGCTGTATTTACCCTTACATACCCTTACAAGTACTTTTTTTATGTCCATTTATTGTTAACTTTTTAAGTTAACAACGTTACTGAATGTGAAAAAAAAGATTTTTCGTGTACCTTTTTGGTTGTATTGTTCACTCAGCGTAGTGTAAAGGATAGTTTTTGTTTGTTCTGTTAGCTTTTGATGCTACAGTAACTTCCTGTTGTACTCTGATGTACTCATTACTGTAAATAAGGGGAATCTGTAAAACAAACCTTATAACGGGGGAGAATGCTAGAGAATAAATATATGAGTGACATGCTGTAATCATGTGTTCACAGTTTTGTTCAGTCTATACATTACTAAACTTCAGGAGGTGGCTGGTGATGCGGCTGTGACCACTCTGTTGCTATAGAAATCACTCACATCCCTGGGTAACCATGGAGATGATGAAGAAACGGGAGACATGCACGTCAAAATCATAAGTCCAAAGGAACTGTAAGAAAAACAAAAACAACACTGAAACATAAAATGATGAAAATAACACAGAAATAAAAAAGCAACGAGACTTCACAGAACTAAAAATAATCGATCGTTTGGAGCTGACTGATGATCGGGAATCAAAACAGACTGAACATCATGCAGACTGTCAGAGGGAACTCTATCCTTTCTAAATATTCAACACAGCAATAATGTCTTCAAATGGAGATTTATATTAAAAAGCTGGAGGTTTTAAAAGTTTTGAAGTTTTCATGATGAAACTACAAATATGGAGTCTGATTCCTGCAGAGAGAGAGAGTGAGGTTTGTGAGAGAAAACTGATGTGCAGTGATCAGAAGAAGCTTTTTTACTCGGTCCACATGATTTATATATCAGCAGCTAACATGCTAACAGCTGATCCTACACACAAACACACACACACACACACACACACATACATAAACACACAGACACACAAACAGAGACAAACACACACACACACACACACACACACACAAATCCTGACTGTAACTGTCAGATATAATTTTGTTGAGAGGACTTCCTGTTTAGCCCATGTGATGATGTCACTGTGAGAAGGAGAGATAGAGAGGGAGAGAAGGGAGGGCAGCAGTCCTCTCACATGATTGGACAGAAGCTGACTCAGCTGTAGGGAGAGAGAGCAAGAGAGTGGCGTCTCGCCCACTGATGCATGAAGGAGCATCAAATATTCATCTCACTGCTGCAACAGAAACAAGACTGCAGGATGAGAAGGAGGAGGAGGAGGAAGAGGAAGGAAAGCAAAAGAAGGGTAGAACAGGCAAAGAGGAGGAGAACGATGAGAAAGGACGACGAAGAGAAGATGAGAGGCAAGCTGGGAGGAAAGGAGGAGGGAAAAGAAGGACATGAGGAGGTGGGGTTAAGAGAAATGTGAAGAAGCTCACGTCCTCACTGACTTAAAAATAGCTCAGACTGATAGAGACACAACGAATGAATGAGAGAGAGACATAGAGAGAAAGAGAGGGAGAGAGAGAGACGTAGAGATAGAGACATAGAGAGAAAGAGAGGGAGAGAGAGAGACGTAGAGAGACATAGAGAGAAAGAGAGGGAGAGAGAGAGACGTAGAGATAGAGAAAGAGAAAGAGAGAGAGAAAGAGGGAGAGAGAGAACTACAAAACCAGCCGACCTGATGTTGACCAATCACAACATCTTGAGCTGTTTCAGGATGATCATCCTTGAAAACGTCCTCAGGCTGCTTTAACATAATCGTCAATAACACACACACACACACACACACACACACACACACACACACACACACACACACACACACACACACACACACACACACACACACACACACACACACACACACACACACACACACACACACACACACACACACACACACACACACACACACACACTCCTCTGACAGACTCTCGTGCTGCATTGCAGTAAACACACCCCATCTGTCTGACGCGTTTTATATTTTTAAGTTTTTCATTCGTGCTATTTTTAGGCCGCTAAAGAAGAAAAGTAGCGTCACTATGGCCAAGTGGCGTAAGTACGGGCCGTAGCCATCAAAACGTTCAGTCCAGGTTCAAATCCCACCAATGGTTATTTTAACGCATGTCATTCCCCACTCACTCTCTCTCTCTCTGGTTTCTAACCCTGTCTCTACAATAACAACAAACCTTCTAGAAACTGAAGAGGCGTTTTTTTAAAGCGTAAACGGAATAGTTCGAAGACACGTGCTTAGAGATGTTTGTATGGAAGACCATTCCCGCCAAAAACAACAAGTGAGAAACTAAAAGAAATTAAACAGTTGAAAAAAACACTGAAGTCTTTGAAAGAGTTTCAGGGTGGGCACGTCCATGAAAGACCTTCAGGGTGGGTGTGTCCTTGAAAGACCTTCAGGGTGGGTGTGTCCTTGAAAGACCTTCAGGGTGGGTGTGTCCTTGAAAGACCTTCAAGGTGGGTGTGTCCTTGAAAGAGCTGCGTGACGTCAGGTTCTGGCCAAAGTTGTCATGACATCTCGTTCAGAGCAGCAGGAAACCACGTCTGAGGATCACGCCAACATGTATGTCATGTTGTAAGCTCATAGGTATTTAAATATGGATCAGCAGAATAGAGCTCCTTTAATAACGGAAAGATACTTTATTGATCCCGAGGAGAATTCAAAGCATCCAGTAGCAGTAAAGACAGATGACTGGATTCTGAAATGATTAAACATCTCTGGTTATTTAGTTTCACTATGTGTAAATCTAAATCGTGTTGGTGGCAGGACTGGTCTTCCCTACAGCGACAGGTTAACATTAAACGTTGTTGTTTCACACTCGTCGTTTCTGGATGACGTTTCTTACCGGTCGGACCTCCCCCGTCGTGTTGGTGTATTGTCGGGCCAGACCAAAGTCCAGCATGTAGCACTTCCTGTAGGTGGAGGGAAGCCGGCCCATTGCAAAGTTTGACTGAAGGAACGGAAAACAGAATCGTTACAGGACGGAGGAGGAAAAGGAGGAGGACTGTGTATGGAGCCCTGTGGAACACCAAACTTTATATGTATGGAAAAAACATTGGGCCTGTGTCCATTGATGGCATTCATTGAGTGCTGGCAGTGCTCATACCTCATTTCATTTCTCACCAGCACTAACCCTGCTAGGGTAAAAAGGACGTCTTACAGTCACCACGAGGTGTGTTTTAAGCAAATATTTGTTTATATTCAAGGAAGTTCCAACAAGCACCTTTACACCTTAAATTGTTCCCTTGAAAGGATGAGTCTGATTAGTTTTTCCTCCTTTGTTGTTGACAGAGCTGATATCAGAGGTCCCGCCCCTTCTTGATTTTGATTGGTCAGTGAGAGAAGAGACAAAACAGCTGATGTCTAGTAGATTTTGCACTCAACACTGAAGACACTGAAATGCAATGGTTTGTTTTGAAATGGGCCCTGCCAGCACAAAAAGAAAAAAGAAAGCACAGGCCCCATTTTAATTCTACAACAATGACTTGAATGTGATATCCAAAGAAGCCTGCTGTACGCCAATTATACAAAAGTATATCAAAATGTGTATCAATTACTAATTAAATACAGCGTGCATCATTTGATATCACATTCACGTCACTGATGTCCTAATATGCAGCCCTGTGGAACACCAAACTTTATTTGGCTTAGCAAGTTAGTTCCATTAGAAATTGTTTCCTGTACATAATTTTATCACATATTGTGATGTACAGGGCCAAAAGCCATTAAAGAGTAATCATTGTCTAAAACTATGAAATGACATCCTTCAGGAACAAGTTAAAGAGCTGAATCTCATGCTATCTTTAAAAACAATGAAACCGGGCTGAGGTTTGGCGGATGTTGTCGTACTGGTTTGATGTCGCGGTGCAGGAAGCCCACTGAGTGGATGGCCTCGATGGACTCCAGGATCTGCTTCCCGAGCCGCAGAGTGGTGCTCATCGTGAAGGTTCCTCTGGGCTGACTCCTCCGCAGATCAGCCAGGTTACGACCCTGCAGCAACACACATGGTCGCTTAGCAACAACATAAAGGGGAAGTAAACCAGCTGCCATCACTGTGTTGACGCTACACTTTTATACTTGGAGTTCTCAGGATCAAATTCTGACAAATGTTTTTATTTTAGTGTGTAGCTAACGTCTCTCGGACTCACCTGAAGCTGCATGACCACGTAGTTGAATTTGTCGTTTCTCCCACAGCCAATGAACTTACAGACGTGGTTTTTACCTGAAATGGAAGAAGAAAGGAGAACTTATTTTTACAGATACTACTTCTGATGTTTCACCCTGGGAAACTTGCACCTCTAAAAGTGAGGCAGGTTTAGATGCAGGACTTCTTTCATGTTTAAGGTGGCCATGGTATTACACCGGGCTTAAGGCAGGACAAAGACTAGTGTTTCAAGTTTAAATGAGGGTTAAAGTTGTCTTACCCTGCAGCTTCTTGAGCACCGCCACCTCCATCTTCAGCACCTGTTTGGGCTGCTGGGCCGACTCCACCTTCAGCGCCACATTCTCCCGCGTCAGCAGGTCCAAGGCCTCGTAGATCTCCCCGAACCCGCCCCCACCGATCTTCTTCAGCTGGAGGTCAAGACGCAGAATAGACTCTGGATCAGTACAGTCTGATGATCTCTGAGTCACAGTACAACTACCAGAGTCTCACTTTAGCACATCCTAAAAGTCTAACCCTTCCTCAGGTTTCCGCCCAGAAAAGTCAGATAATACACGTCATGGTAAAAAGATTACGGTGTTGGGAGAGAGGAAACAGGAAGTTTGTGTAAAAATAACGTAAATATTCTCTGAGATCTGAGAACCCTAACCCATGTACAGAAAGAGGAAAGAGCTGTCTTTGAATGTCCCATACTTGTAATAACTGCAGGCAAACTGGACACAGCCGGTTGTCGGCTGTAGTTTCAATCATAAACACGTTATTTTTCCATCTCTTTGTTTTTTTCTGCAATGATTAAATCTCATCTTAATTTTTCCTTCTCATCCGTTTCTCTTTTCTACAGTTTGTTCTTTTTGATTTAATCCTCTTCACTGTTTCCATCTTTTTTTACCTATTTCCCTCCATTTCCTCTTTCATCACCTCGTCCCCTTTAACCTTCACTTCCTCCTTCTTACCCTCCTTTTCTTTATTATTATTCTGTCTTTGTCCCTTTTCTCACAGTTTCTGTTTGCCGGCTGAACCTGTCAAAGTGTCTTCAAGCAGAACTCTGAACTCTGTGCACATGCATTATATGTGCTGGGTATATTGGTATGTGTGTATGTTGAACTTGGGCTGCTCAGTGGACACACTAAATTGATCAGCGAAGTGCAAAGAGCCTGCAGGCTGAATGCTGCAATCTGATTGGCTCAGGCAGGAGCTGCGTTATGTAACGTCTTATTTCAGGAACCAAAGCCGAGTTTTCTACATGTGTATAATACTCAAATATTACATATAGCCTTTAGCTATCAGTCACATGTATTTAAAAAGAACGCGTTAAGTGATTAATTTCATTTTCATACAGATCAACATTATTAACACAGGACATTCATGTCTCCTGGTTTTCTTTTCCCTGAAAAAGACTCAAAAGCTTGTATGTTTAACTTTATGTCCCTGCATGCACATCAGAACGGTTCCACCAGGATGCTTTCAGAGAGGAATCCATGATAAAAGTGATGCTCTTTAAACAGTCAGTGAGTTTACTGTGTTTTACAGATCCATGTGTCTCTCAGTTTAACTTTTCAGTGACCATAAATCCAAACATAAAATAAAACTACTGACAGAACAGATGTCAGGGGATATTATGTATAAGATTCTTGTAAGGGATCTTTTGAAAGGCTTTTGGCAGGTTTTAAGCCTCCTGACAAACCATTACACCCAAGATGGTGATGGAGATGAGGATGGGAATAAAGGAGGGGGGGAGGTGGGGTTTTGGATGTTTTGGATGTTTTGGAGGTGGGGATTATAGGGATGAAGATGGAGGTGGGGATGGGTAATAATAATAATTATAATAATAATAGTAATAATAGATTTATTCATATAGCGCTTTAAATCAAAGTGCTGTACAAAGCAATACAGTTAAAATACAGGAAAAACATACAGAGAAATCATGACTCATAATCAACAGTAAACAGATGGGTCTTCAACTTTGGTTTAAAAACCTCAACAGAACAAGCCTGCCTAATGTCCAGAGGTAACCTGTTCCAAAGTGTCGGTGCACTGAAAGAAAAAGCCCGCTCACTAACTGTCTTCTTTCTGACCTTTGGGACACTCAAAAGACCCGTCCCCTGAGAATGCAGGGCTCGGGCAGGCACATAGGGGTTCACCAGGTCGGTAAGATACAATGGTGCACTACCATCTAATATTTTAAAAGTTAGCAGCAGCACCTTAAAATCTGCTCTGGCATGAATAGGGAGCCAATGAAGAGACGCCAACACCGGGGTAATGTGTTCATATCTGCAGGCTCCGGTCAGAACACGAGCTGCAGCATTCTGAACCATCTGCAGACTTCGCAGACTTTTTTTTGGCAGACCCGACAGAAGGACATTACAATAATCCAGCCTAGATGACACGTCCTTAAATGACAAGATTGATCTGATCTTGGAGATGTTTCTCAGGTGGAAAAAAGCAACTCTGGTCACTTCCTTTATGTGTAATTCAAACGATAGTGTTTGATCGAAAAGCACACCAAGATTCTTAACTCGGTCTCTGCGATTGATTACACAATCATCGAGAGACAAAGTAATAGGATCAAAAAGATGACGCAGTTTTGCTGGTTCGATAAACATCATTTCTGTTTTAGCAGAATTAAGCAACAATATATATTTTTTGATAACCAGCTCTTTAACAGCTGCAAGACAGGCCTCAAGTTTAGCTGTATTTAAAGTGGGGGGACTTCCAGTGAGGCGCGAAGCAAGATGGCAGCACGGTACTGAGCGCTGACATAAACCCCTCTTTTTTAGAGTTAATTGGGGCTCATAGACGATATTAAAACTAGCCTGATTCAGAGAAGAGTTAACTAAAGACATGGCTTCGGAAAAAGAACAAAGCTCGACTAAGAAACTAGATTCCAGCAGACGAAACAAAGCTAGCGATTCACCCGAGGAATTAGCTTTGCTAATCAAACTAACAACAGAGATGGAATCTGTTCATGACACGACATGCTAAAGGACTCGCTTGAAAAAGCTCTCGGTCCTATAGAGAAGCATATGGAAGAAAATGGAAACATCCTCCGATCGTTAAAGGAACAATCAGACATTCATGCTAAGAAATTTGACACGGTCTTCAAAAAGATAGACGGCATGCAGGCTAGCTTGCGCAAAAACGAGAAAGACACATGTCTTGCAGAGGTGACTGAATTGCGGAGAAAGATCAACGACTTGGAAGATAGGTCCCAGAGAAACAATGTGCGGCTGGTTAACTTGCCGACAGGGGCGGAGTCGACGATCCGAGAGGCTATCTACAGAAGATGCTGCCTAAGAGCTCCCACAACACTTTGGTGGAAATAGATAGAGCTCATCGCATTTTCTCTAACAACACTTCGAGACCGCGGACTATGATCTTCAGGCTTCTATGCTACACCGACCGGCAGGTTATCCTGGAGGGCGCGAGGAAAGCCAAACCTACCCTCCCCGACGGCACTCCGCTGCAATTCTTCGCCGACTACAACCCCAGGACAACGCAGGAGCGGCAGGAATACAAGGGGATCCGCTCTAAACTCCAACAGAAGGGGATCGAATCATTCCTTATATATCCGGCGATTTTGAAAGTGAATCACAAGGGTATGAGGATGTCATCTAACTCGGCAGAGGAGGCGAAAGCAGCCCTGAAATCGTCGGTGCTGGAAAGTATGGAAGGCGACACGGAGCTGAGAGCATAGGCTATTCGGGAGGAGATGGAACTGTATTAAGGATTTTGACCAGCCGATATTCGAGATATAACGGACATGAGCAGGCTATGTCCTACAGGTGCTGTTTAATGTTTTTTCTCCTGATGGAAAATCGGTAAAGTACCTCTTTGTTTTTTTAAATAAGGAGCCAATTTGTTTTTCACTTCTGTGGGCGAGTTATAATGTGATGGCTCAGTTAACTTGTTAAGTTAATAAGGACAATGTGGTACTGGGATAGAAGTCCGACCAGAATATATATTTTGACTCCAAGGTGATTTTGAATACAAAATGTTATAGGATTGAAGGGGGTTAACTCAGGGTTCTGCCAACAACTCACATCGACAGGTTCAGGGCAACACAGACAAAGTTGAAAGTTTCAAGACTGTATCATTTAATGTTAGAGGACTAAATTCTCCCTACAAGCGATCAAAGATCTTGGATTTCTTACGCAGAAAGAAGATTGATATTGCAATGTTACAGGAAACACATCTTAAACCTAATGACGTTTCCAGGGTTCAAAATCGTTTCTATAAACCTGTGGTGGCATCAGCTGATGGTACGCGAACAATGAGTAATGATTTTAATGAGACGTAGCTTGAATGTATCAATTGATAAGACTGGCTCTGACAATAAAGGGCGTCTGGCATTTTGCTGTGTGTCCATTCAAGACAAAAAAGTTGCATTCGTTAGCCTATATGCCCCAACCATATTTAAGGCCGAATTCTTTCCCTCAATTACCTCACAACTATTGAAATTAGGTGACTGCCAACTGTATGTTGGTTCTGACATGAATGCTTTTGTGAATTCTAACCTCGATAAATCTTCCACAACTATATCAGGTTCTCAAGAAGCTGCATCCAAAGCACTTAATTTCTTTATATCAGACTTAAATCTAGTTGATGTGTGGAGGATATATAATCCATCTGCTAAAGACTATACCTTCTTTTCTACAAGACATAAAACCTTCTTGCGAATAGATTACATCCTTATATCCTCTGGTTTGCTGCCTTCGGTACAATTAGTAGAATTTTTGCCCCGACATTTATCGGAGCACAATCCAGTCATTTCCACTTTTAATTATGGTAATATAAAAAATAGGGCTACTAGATGGAGGTTCAACTCCACTCTTCTACAAAACAAGGAATTTATTTCACAATTAAGAACAGAACTGACTGAATTTATAGCTTTGAACAAAAATAGTGTCACAGATATGACAGTAGTTTGGGCATCCATCAAGGGCTTTATACGGAACGACGTATAAATGGTTTAGTTCCCACTTACATAAAAACTGGCTTCAAAAGGTTTCCGCACTAGAAGAACAATGTAAAATTTTGGAGAATGATCTTAAAAGTAGGCACACCGCAAAAGAGAACGGTCTCAAATTGAAACAAGTAGAACTGAATGATTTACTGAGACGTAGGGCAGAATATATGATACATATAACCAAACATAAGTATTATGCAGAAGGCAGTAGACCGAGCCGTCTTTTGGCACTATCTATAAAACAAGAAGAAGCTAAAAGGTCCATACCATCGATTAGATGTGCTAAACGTGGAGTCGTATCTTCAACAGAGGAAATAAATGAGACATTCAAGAATTATTTTAAAAACCTGTATACAGGTGGCTCAGTTCCTTCTGAAGAGGACTTCAATAGGTTTTTTAGTGGGTTGGACCTTCCTACATTGTCATTGGAAGACACCAAAAATCTAGACTCTCCTATTACATTGGATGAACTACTTAAAGCAGTCAAAATCACAAACAAGGGCCGTACGCCAGGTATAGATGGCGTACGGCCATGGATACCTGTGGAGCTTTACTTAGCAATTTGGGATATTATTGGACCAGTATGGTTAGAAACATTAAATTTTGCTACTGAAAAGGGCGCTTTCCATAGAGCTCTAAATACGGCCCTTATCACGGTTATACCCAAACCTGGCAAGGACCCCCTCGAGTGTCCCAATCATCGTCCAATCTCATTGATAAATTCTGACCTGAAGATATTTTCCAAGGTCCTAGCCAGTAGACTTGAGACGGTGGTTGAGAAAAT